TTGGCCATGACATATTTGAAGGTGTTGCGTCATATGATGTAGCATTATACATAAAACACCTTGTGACTGTGGATAAGCAGTTCACTTACCAGGAATTAAATCGCAGAATAAGTCAGTTCTCATACTTTGGCTGTGATTCCAATGACAAACCTGCTGAGCTTGCTCCAGGGGGGGATAAACTGTCTGGTCATGCAGTGCAAAACTGGTGTTTCCTTAGGATGCTTCCAGTTTTGATTGGAGATAAGATTGAAAGTCCAGCTGAAAATGAGGTGTGGCAGCTGGTGTTACAGCTTAGACAAATAGTAGAGCTTATATGTGCACCAGCTATTTCTGCAGGGCAGATAGCCTACCTAGAAGTTTTGATTAATGAGTACCTGCACACTAGATGTAAAGCATTTCCAAATCACACACTGAAACCAAAGCACCACTACATTACTCATTATCCTGAACTGATTTTCCACTTTGGCCCTTTAATCCGTTTGTGGACGCTAAGATTTGAAAGCAAGCATACATATTTCAAGCAGTGTGCTCGGAAATCACATAACTTCAAGAATCTTTGTCGAACACTTGCAGAGAAACATCAGCTTCTCCAGGCATACCTTTCTGCTGGCAACTTCTTTCCACCAGATATTGTTCTCGAAAAAAGCACAGAATTTTATTCGACTGAATACAGTGAGGAGATCAAAACGGCAGTTTTGCATATGAATTTTGAGGCTGTAAACACTGAGGTTGCCAATGATATTACACTGAGAGGTACAAAATACAAAAAAAACATGTTTGTTTTGATCAGAGACTCAGATGATGAAGAGCTTGTAGTTGGAAAGATCAAATTAGTTCTTGTTCATCAGGGTTCATCTGTTCATTTTGTTACCCAGGAATATCAGGCTGTACTGGTTCCTAACATGGGTGTTTACAGTATTAAGCCAGCCGAGAGAGTGTGCTGTGTAAAACACGAGAATCTGTTAGATTATTACCCATTGCCTGAGTACAGAGTGTGTGGCATGCCTTTACTAATTCTTCATCACTCTTTTCTCTTTCTATAGACCAATGTCTGACTGGAGTAATGAGGTTAAAGACATCATTTTGCAGGCATTGCCTAACCTATCCTCAGATGTTTTACAACAGATTGTTTCAAAACTTCAGAGCTCTGGGCTAGAAAGCAAAAATGATTTGCAGTATGTTCAGAAAGATGATCTTCAAGATCTCTTGCCAGTTATCCAGCTTAGAAAGCTTCTTCAAGTTTTTAAATCAGGTAATGTAGCAAAGACATTTTAAAGTTATGAAGTTAATGAGCGTTACCTGCCTATACAAATGTAAATGTTACAGACAGTAAGATTTAAAATACTGTTTTTTATATATATAAGGTCCTTTTAATGTGTTTTGCCAAGTAAAATTTAAGTTTACATGAATGTGTAAATAAATGTAAAAATAGTTTGAGACAAAATAGTAAATAGTGACACTGTGCATGGTATCATCATTAGAGTTTGTAAATAATGTTAATTCTCTGTACTTTTATCAGAAACTGAAGTGATTACTCTAGACCTACAAGCCATCTCCAGCCCATGTTCACGTTACAGTCAGTCAAGTTCATCCTCTCCTCTTTCAAGTCCAACACCTGACAGCCAAGCTTGCATGTCCTTTTCCCCAGAGACAGCCAACCCAGGAACATCCTCTTCACATACTTTTACCATTTCCAAGACATGGCCCACAACTTTCCAGGTCTCTTGGGACCGAATGCCACCAGAGATCCAATCAGCTATTGTTGCAGGCAAGAGGCCCAAACCTGCTGAACGGCGCCAGATGGTGAGAGTCCTAGTTGATGAAATGCGCAAATATGAGCTTTGCCCCACGCGCTCTCAATGTATTACAGTCTGCCAAAATATTGTTAGGCAGTACCCTAACAGCTTTGCGGACCAGTTTCCAAATGGTGCTTTAATAGCAGGAGGGTATACATCTCTCTTACTGCAAGTGAAGACACGTGTGGAAAATCTTAATCGTGAGAGTAGTTTTGGCCATCATAGACGAACCATGACAAAGTCTGGATGCAAACGAGGACCCACTGACACTTACGGGTGTGTGAGATTTCAGCCACATCTCCCACCAGAAGAAACCACGGAATCCATAGAGTAGGGCTGCACGATTTGGGCCAAAATGATAATCACGATTATTTTGATCAATATTGCGATCACGATTAATTATCACGATTATTTGTTGATTTTAACCAAAACAAATTTTATTGCCACATAGGCTAATTATAACTGCTTTCACATCCATATTGTGCTACATTTCTGCTAATGTATGTGTATCTAAATAAAATAGGTCCTCTTATTCACCAAAATTCAGTGCATCTCCTTAAAGAATAAAGAAAACAATAAAGAAAATGTAGCAAAACTTCAACAGGGCACTATTTTACAATTTACATTGTGTAAATCTATTTTAGGAAGCAAAATATAAACTTCCCAGATAGCAAAATTGTTGTGGCCCAGATCCGGCCCACAGTTGACACTTTCATCTGGCCCACATACCGCGTGGAATGATGGCACTTGGGCGGTCCGCTCCTGTTTGCCAGATTTGGGCCACAATTAAGCCATAGCAATGCCGCATGTCAGCCGTAAACAAAACAAATGAAGCAGAACTGGCCCACATCTGGCCCAGACACCAAAATTGCTGTGGCCCAATTCCGGCCCACACTTGACACTTTCATCTGGCCCACATACCGCGTGGAATGATGGCACTTGGGCGGTCCGCTCCTGTTTGCCAGATTTGGGCCACAATTAAGCCATAGCAATGCCGCATGTCAGCCATAAACAAAACAAATGAAGCAGAACTGGCCCACATCTAGCCCACAGTTTAAAGTTCAAAGGGTATGTGGGCCAGATGAAAGTGTCAACTGTTGGCCGGATCTGGGCCACAGCAATTTTGGTGTCTGGGCCAGATGTGGGCCAGTTCTGCTTCATTTGTTTTGTTTACGGCTGACATGCGGCATTACTATGGCTTAATTGTGGCCCAAATCTGGCAAACAGGAGCGGACCGCCCAAGTGCCATCATTCCACGCGGTATGTGGGCCAGATGAAAGTGTCAAGTGTGGGCCGGAATTGGGCCACAGCAATTTTGGTGTCTGGGCCAGATGTGGGCCAGTTCTGCTTCATTTGTTTTGTTTACGGCTGACATGCGGCATTGCTATGGCTTAATTGTGGCCCAAATCTGGCAAACAGGAGCGGACCGCCCAAGTGCCATCATTCCACGCGGTATGTGGGCCAGATGAAAGTGTCAAGTGTGGGCCAGATCTGGGCCACAGCAATTTTGGTGTCTGGGCCAGATGTGGGCCAGTTCTGCTTCATTTGTTTTGTTTACGGCTGACATGCGGCATTACTATGGCTTAATTGTGGCCCAAATCTGGCAAACAGGAGCGGACCGCCCAAGTGCCATCATTCCACGTGGTATGTGGGCCAGATGAAAGTGTCAAGTGTGGGCCAGATCTGGGCCACAGCAATTTTGGTGTCTGGGCCAGATGTGGGCCAGTTCTGCTTCATTTGTTTTGTTTATGGCTGACATGCGGCATTGCTATGGCTTAATTGTGGCCCAAATCTGGCAAACAGGAGCGGACCGCTCAAGTGCCATCATTCCACGCGGTATGTGGGCCAGATGAAAGTGTCAAGTGTGGGCCAGATCTGGGCCACAGCAATTTTGGTGTCTGGGCCAGATGTGGGCCAGTTCTGCTTCATTTGTTTTGTTTACGGCTGACATGCGGCATTGCTATGGCTTAATTGTGCCCCAAATCTGGCAAACAGGAGCAGACCGCCCAAGTGCCATCATTCCATGCGGTATGTGGGCCAGATGAAAGTGTCAAGTGTGGGCCACAGCAATTTTGGTGTCTGGGCCAGATGTGGGCCAGTTCTGCTTCATTTGTTTTGTTTATGGCTGACATGCGGCATTGCTATGGCTTAATTGTGGCCCAAATCTGGCAAACAGGAGCGGACCGCTCAAGTGCCATCATTCCACGCGGTATGTGGGCCAGATGAAAGTGTCAAGTGTGGGCCAGATCTGGGCCACAGCAATTTTGGTGTCTGGGCCAGATGTGGGCCAGTTCTGCTTCATTTGTTTTGTTTACGGCTGACATGCGGCATTGCTATGGCTTAATTGTGCCCCAAATCTGGCAAACAGGAGCAGACCGCCCAAGTGCCATCATTCCATGCGGTATGTGGGCCAGATGAAAGTGTCAAGTGTGGGCCACAGCAATTTTGGTGTCTGGGCCAGATGTGGGCCAGTTCTGCTTCATTTGTTTTGTTTATGGCTGACATGCGGCATTGCTTTGGGCTAATTGTGGTCCAAATCTGGCAAACAGGAACGGACCGTTCAAGTGCCATCATTTCACGCGGTATGTGGGCCAGATGCAAATTATGGCACTTAAGGCAGTCCCCTCCTGTTTGCCAGATTTGGGCCACAATTAAGCCATAGCAATGCCACATGTAACCCAAACACAAACCAAATAAACCACACCTGGCCACAGTTGATTTTTATACAAACCCTGGTCTTTCCCAACATTCCTCATGCAGAATGGAATGGTGGCACTTTTGCAATTCACTCCGGTTTGCCAGATCTGGTCCACAAGCAGGCCATTTGTTCAGCCACATGTGTGTCAAGAATTACATAAATAAACCATAACTGTGTGTTTTTGTGTGTGCATGCTGTGCCTGACACTAAGAGAAATATACACTAAAGAGAAATTTAAAAATGCCCCCTTTCTATGTTAAAAAAAGTTACAACAGATGATTTAAACACATTTCTGAAAACATTTGCATTATTTATTAATATTTTCAAAGAACAACCAAGTGCAAGTTTCAATTTTCAAAACTGGAAAGCAATCTAAAAAAAAATAGTAATAATAAACAAACACAAAATATGTGCATATAAAATATCTTAAAACTAAACAAAAAACAAAATATGTTTCCAGTTGGTCATCCCAAAAAAAAGACAACGCAGAAGTAAACACACTTTTAAAACACTGACAAATGGAGCCATCCAAAATTAAAGAATTTGACCTCCTTGACTGGGCCCATCTGCGTCATCATGGCAATCTTGCAAGCCTTTATTGGATACACAAAAAAACAAAAACTGTTGACTCAGTAACAGAATGCTGATTTTACAATAGTGTTTTACTAGCAATAGCACATTAATACTGAATGGGGAAAAAATGGACTGGACCTACCAGTGCATTAAACAGTTTGGTAACTCTAAAGGCCTATTTATACTTCTGCGTCGAACTCACGCCGTAGCTGCGTCGTAGGCTGTGTGTAGCGCGCGTACCCTTCAGCGTACCCTGACGTGCACCTCTCCAAAAATGTAACAACACGTCAACTCTATGTGGACGCAAGCGCTGTGATTTGTCTGCCAGGACCGCTCCCTAGGGTTTCACATGCTCCCTCTACAAGTGTAATAGCGCGTCAACGCGGACAACGACGCAAAAGTATAAATGAAAACCAACGCGTTGCCTACAGCGTAGAAGCTCCGGCGTAGGTCCGACGCAGAAGTATAATGAGGCCTAAAGGCCTTAATTGTTAACATTAATTAATGTATTAACTAGTATTAACTAACATGAACTGCATTATTTATTAAGCTTTTTTAATTTTTCAGTCATTCACTGTTTGTTCATGTTAGTTCACAACTTTTGATTTAAATAATGCATTTGGGAGAACATTAACTAAGATTTATAAATGCTGTAAAAGAATTGTTCATGCCTCATGTCAACTAAAGTAGTTAAAGGGATAGTTCACCCAAAAATGAAAATTCTGTCAGTAATTACTCTCCCTCATGTTGTTCCAACCCCGTAAGACTTTCGTTCATCTTCGGAACAAAAATTAAGATATTTTTGATTAAATCTGAGAGCTGGATCACTCCTCCATAGGCTTCTAAGGGATTGAAACTTGCCAGCCCAGAAAACGTATTAAAAACATTGTTAAAATAGTCTGAGTGACTACAGTGGCTCAATCTTAAGTTTATCAAGCGACGAGAATACTTTTCGTGCGCAAAAAAACAAACAAAAATAACGACTTTATTCAACTATTCATTTTCGGCTGCTTACCTGGCATAAACTAATATAATTTATTTTACTGGACATTTTAAAGCTCATAACCATATTTTATTGTTACTTGAAGAACTTAGAGTGCAGTGTTATGTTGCATCATGCAGTATTTGTGCAGAAAAGTAAGAGTAAATGTCTGTTACCTCAATAAATGTAAGGTCATTCCTATTTTATTTGTGTACATTTTAATCATTAGCATTACAAGCACACTCTTTTTACGACTAAAATAACAGTAAGGGTAAAAAAAAAAACTGAATTCCCAAACATGGAAATGGAAAAAACGGAATTAGCAAAAATGAAAAAGGAAAAAACGGAATTTGGGAAAAAATAAAACAGATTTTCTAGGGCCATAATCAAGTATTCAGACAGACCATGGAATTATACACATATAGCAAAAACACAACTGACTTACAGGTGTCTTGGGACCTCCTCCGTTTCTCCCTTTCTCTTCTCCCTCCGTCTCGGTCACTTGACAGATGAAGCCATTTTTTAATAAATGTTTCAATTTCTTGATCAGTGGCCGCAGCTGTCAGTCTATTGGTTCTGACCGTTCCTAAAAATATATAACATTGTAAATGCAAGGATGGATTAGACAACTTTTAAAATCTTAGGACACAATTAGCAGGAAGACAAGCATTAGCCAAATGCATACTTTGCCAGTGCCACTCTAAATAACATTTTGGCCACGGACAAGGACACTTTTTGTTTCCGGATGCCCAAAAGGCACAAGTTTAACCTTTTTTTTTAGCAAACAAGGGTGACTAGGAACATGTAATTGTATAGATATGTTTTCTTGTTTCAGAGGAGTTTAAATATGAAGAAACACAAAGGCCAAATTCCCTTAATCATCCATCACTAGGGATGTCAACGATAATACAATTGCCGATAATACATTTAATCGATACAACTTATCGATCATTGATTAAGCAGGTTCATGCGCGTGCGTGCTGCTCAACCGCGAAAGCGTGCCGGAGTTATGTTTGGGACCATTTTACACTTTCATCAAGACTATTAGTTTGTGTGTGCATTCGCAGCCTTTTGTTTTGTGCAAATGTAAGTTGTAATATTGTTTATTTTGTGGATGCCTATCTATATCTGATTTATCTCATATTGGATGCATTTGGTTAAGAATTAACTCTATAGTAAAGCGTCAGCTTCAGCACGTGCAGCTCAAACGGCAGTGCACGACTAATAATGACTATTGGGACTGTAATATTACATAACATTATAAAGAGAACAATATTGTAATAAAACATTGTGAATTATTTGGGTTTACTGCCGTGTCGCGTTGCTCCAGGAAGAGCGCGTCCACAACATGAGTAGTTCTGAATGAATGGCACATAACTTAAAGTTCACTTGTGCATGCGTCATTTTGGGCAGATATAATTTGTAATATTATGTTTATTTTGAATATATATGATTAATCTCATATAGGATGCGTTTCTTGTAGATAAACAACGTGCTAGCAAAGTGCTCCAGTTTAATGGTAGCAGATTCATTCAGCGCGTGCAGTTGTTCCAGGAAGAGCTCGTCCACAACAGTCACACATTCTAAGCGCATATGAGGCGCGTTGGTGACACGTTGTATTAGTAGTTATTTTTGATTATTAAATAATTAATTTAATTATCAACCACATCAAAACATTTTACAATCCTACTAGCCCTTTAATTATATTTAAAACCCTTCTCATTGATTTGGTGAGGAACATAGCGTTTTGAGCAGCATTTGCAGACGCTGTCATGCTGTTGGCCATAGCCACTGCAGTAGATGCATATCGCACTATAAAGGCTAACAGATCAATCAATTAATTGATTGTTAATTTAAATTATGATCGATCATGGGAATTTGTGAAAATTGACATCCCTATCCATCACAATGAGTAAAACCAAAGAATATAATTCTGATGTGCAGCAAAAGATTGTTGAGCATCACAAAATAGAAACTGGCTGTAAGAAAATAGCTAAATTATTTGAAAATAATTCAGAAGTTTCAATCAATTAAAGATGTTACAAAAAATCTGCCAGGAAGAGGACATGTCTATATTTGTCTTAAATTAAGACAATATAGACACGGTGAGGAGGAAAGTTTGTAGGGCTGTCAACTTTAGTCGTTTAGTCGAGTAATCGGTCGATGCCGTCTTGGTCGACTGACATTCTTATTGGTCGACCGGTTTTTTTTTTTTTTTTTTTTTTTTTTTTTTTTTACCAATAGAAAGAAATTTTCAATGATTTACTCCTTGATTTGTATTCCTTTATAAGCAGTTATATATTACTGTATAATATAAATCTAAATATAATTAGCCTATGGTTTATCCCCAACTTTAAATGCTTTAATTTAGGCTATTTTGTAACAGCGCCACAGTTTAGCACACACACATAGAACACTCGGTGGCTGGCTGCGCTGCTGCTTCGTGCTCACTAAGGGATATAGGTAGTTTAGCTGTATTCATTCAGTTAGAACGCTACTTGTTTCGGTTTTATACACTATATGTTTTATCTCGATGCGGCGTGGACGCACTCGAAAAAAAAAAGAGCGCGTCGCACCGCGACCGCGTTGCTTCCATCATGAGCGCGCACACCGCGCGCCTACATTTGAAATCGAACTTGAGCGCGCAAAAGACGTGAGCAGTCCCTTTAACGGCTTTATCATGCTGACTCAATAGATTGTGTTTTCTTGATATATTTTTGTTTTTATTTGTACACTTGAAGTATTTGAAAATAGCCTAAATAATGTAACAAAACGAAAATAAACCTATATGCGGTCCTACATTATTATTAGGATTGTTTTTTAGGCTCTCTGGGTTTTTTGTGTGTTTGTTTTAAAACGCCTAGATCGGCTGGACAAAAGTTAACCCATAGCTTTGAAAGTAAAGAAAAATATACAGCCTGTATAAACGAGAGCTTTTGTTAGGATGTTTCATTATGTGGCAGATAGCAGTTATATTTTTTGAGAGAAGGAAAGTGCACGCACGTTGTGGTAGGGATATTGTTAAGGTTTTAATGGTATTACCACTCTTACCGATACTGCTTATCGGTCCGGTACTTTAACAGTATTTTTATCTGTTCTTTTTGTTAACTATCTATAAATTACAGAAACGTTTGTCTGTCTGTTAACCACTTATCTCTTGAACCGTTAGTCCGGTGGATTTCAAACTTGACAGGTGTCTTAATCACACGACCACTAAACAGCGCTGTGAGATCCAGTGAGAAGCGCTTGAATTCAGCGAAGAACACAAATGTTTCAGTGATTTAAACCAGTTTAAAGGCAGATGAAACAGCGCTGACAAACAGGAGAAACACTGTGCGCAACGATACAGTCAGAAGGCTTTTCCGTACAAATTCTCATCATTTACCACGGATTTACTGTAATGTTAGCCTACTAATATTAACTGCACTATGAAATGTGAGATATATATATTTAATTGTATTCAGCAAGTAAACATCTGATCTGATAAACGCTGCGCTGCAGTTTGGACTTTGAGCCGAGCTAATAAATGTTCAGTGTGGCACGATTATCGATTTATCGAACATTATCGAACATTTATCAAACACTTGATATTGTTTTATTGAGAAAATTTATATTGCGATAATTTTCATTATCGTTTTATCGCCCAGACCTAACTGTAAAGTATACTTCTTTTTAGTAAGGGATGCATCAGGTAATATGGATTGCCTGTTGCATCAGTTTCTTATTGTATGAGAGCTCCATGTGTGGAGATGGACAGCTATGTTTGGGATTGTTTCCACAATAAAGCTTTTAGTGACAAACTGCTGGCTGTCATACCCGTGCATAAGTATGCATTTAAGTGTTTACTTTTTTTAATCAACCTTTTTTAATAATTACGTAATTTGAGCAAATATGCATCAAGCATGCAAGCAATAGAGAATGGACTTATTAGACTGAAGATGCAATGTACTGTAACACTTACCAGTAATGACATCTTTCAGCTGCAGTTTGTGGAAAGCTGTTTTGCCATTGATGCCACGCCAGTTAAGTTGTTTGCCAAGGGAGTTGGTAATACAGTGCCCCATAACCCGCCAAACGCTATCCTTAACATCGACTCCTCCAATGAAGCTCAATGCAGTAATCTAAAAAAGATCATTTAAAAAAACAGGGATAAATGTTTTATATAAACACTACTCACAGTTACCCAATTCAGAATAAAATAAAAAATACATAAAATCACTTCACACTTAGTTGGCATTTAGAACAATCTCTTTGTTGGATACTTGCTTTCTTAACCTGTTATCTACTGTAGGACTGTCAATCTATCACTGATGCAGTTCCATATTCAACTGAAAACATGAAGTTGCAGTGTCCTTGAGGTTTAAACACAAGATTTTACACCACAGTAAAACAAAACAAAAATATCAATAAAAAAAAAAAAAAAAAAAAAAAAAAAAACGAGTTTAAAATATAAATTTTAGTTTTCCATGGTCTAATAAAGTGGAATATTAATATATTGTCTGATTAAAATTTAGTCAAATTGAATGTATGTTGGAGTAGTTTATGCAATATTGGTAAGGCAAAGTGTTAGTTACCATTTTTTTTTTGAGGTCAGCCTCTTCCCTCAGACGTTTTTCCACAGCCAGCAGGGAGGTAAGATCTTTCAGCGGCAGTAAGTCTCTGTCGATGGGATCCTGCCCATGAGCAGGTTCGCCCATTTTCTGCATGTTCATCAGGATGACTTTTAGTTGATCCATCATCATTTCCTGATTTGTAAGAATTCTATGCAGAAGAGCTAAAAATAAAAGACAAACATGTGATTTATGCAATTTTGACAGATAATTAATTGTATTCACCTGTGAAAACAAATCTAGAAAGAGACATGAGGACTTATTTAATAAATCACTTACGAGCAAGACCACTTAAAGTAACTGTTCCCGACTGTTGTGCTTCAGAACTTCCCATAGACCGACTGGGTTCGGGGCTTTTTTCAGCACGCCAGGGCTCAGGACTTGTCATCTGCTTTGGGGTTTGAGGCTTATTTTGAACTCTTCTCTTTATTGCAGACTCAATTGCAAAGTTTGGTCCTGTTATCTTTGGGGCTGGAGGCAACGATCCTGTTTGTTTGACCAAATCTTCGTCGTCACTCTCAAAACGAATGTTTGGTCTTGTCAGGGGGCACAGAAAATAAAATCAAAGTTTATTTTAATCAATTTCAAAGATCAGTCTCAGTCTAGTCTGGTAGTGTCTCAAATTTCTGCTGTTCCTGTTCCTCCCTGCCTGCCCTGTTTATCGCTTCTGTCACCACTATCTCCTAGTTGCCCAACTGTTTCCCTTAAGAATCGTCAATGTTTTGTGTTCCTGCCTTTATCTGCCCAGCTGTACCCTTTTTTAGATTTAAGCTTGTATTTAAAGCCAATGTCCAAGGTTTCCCTAAGCATATATTACAAGCATATTACCCCCCAACCAATCTAAACATTTAGCAGAAATGTTAATGCACTAACAAATCTAAGATCTCTTTAAGTAGTGACACGTCATCATGGTCAGAGTTTGAGGCCGAACATGTAATAATGTTAGGAAAATAATCAAAATGTGTGTTTTTGTTTTGTTTTTTACTAATAATGCGATTTAATTGACTATTTTTAAGCTCTTTATCTTCTGTATTATTCAACAAAGACAAGCAATAAATCATTGTATAATATGGCTGGAAACTGGGAATCTTTAGTCACCTCATGATCATGATTAAGTCACCTCAAAAAATGTTTTTGATGGAATTACATACTGTATGTATTTATAAAAACTTTTTTTTTTTTTTAAATAATGACACTTTAAAAAATAAGTTTTACACTTTAAATTACACTTTTTAAATGTAGCTTATATAAACGAATATAGCTTCAAAACATAAACATAAAAGCAAGTAAATATTAAATAGGAACAAAAACATATTACAAGCAATAAACATCTTTTTTTTTTATGCCTACAGCAATAGTAGTAGAATGGCACTTTAATACTTACAGCCTTTTTCGCTTTTTCTTCGGAATTTCGTCCACAGCTTCTTCCTCTGCTGTCTGAAGGTCGGTTTGTGTTTCCGCTTGAGGAAGTTTCAGACGAGCAGCTTTGTAGGTTGCTGTAAAGAAATATCATTAGATCTTTTTTTTAACAAGTGAAGCCTATTGGTAAATAATAATATGTCCATACCAGCTTTATATAAAATTCTAACAGAATATGCGTCCCACATGTTTCCAGGTTGCTCCTCACTTCTTATGGCCTTTACTAATTCATCACGTCTGTATTGAGCAGGCCATTGACATATTTCTTCTTCAACCCAAAGTGCTGGTACCACTTCAACTTCTTGGGTTTCTAGAAACTCTACAATGTAAAACATGACCTAGAACAGAAAGAGGCACAAAGTAACTAACATTAAGAGTATGCACTTATAACTTTTGGACTTTTTTAATTTAAACAAATGAACATAATTAGAAACCATTTTTTTTTATGATAATCATAATAAGGGCTTTAAAAGGTGAATGATGATTTAAGTGCACATAAATGTCCTTATTAACACATGTTTCAGAACCAATGCAAGTTATTAGAAGTATAAATATGGTACACACCTACTGAGATAAACCAAGGCAGGCTGGACTCTGTCACTGCTGTCTAATTGTGATGCCAGTCTGCACATAAATTCATTTTGAAAAAGATTGGACTATCTAAAATTCAGCTTTAAAGTCTACCAAAACACCACGCTATGAATGACATTTAGGATGGGTCTGCATGAAGAAGTGGAATGACAACAAATCCAACCTCCACAGGCAACCGGACACACTTCTGCATTTTGGCATCTAATGTTAAGCACATCAGCTTTGGTGACAGATCTGACACAAAACAAATTCCCAAATCAGTGGACACAATGGGATAATCAAAGAACTTTGCAATGTGTCTATATTCTTTGCAGACAATATATTCCTCATTTTCAAAGACAATTATATTCTGAACCAATAGTATCTTATTGTTCATTTTTATACATCTGTCCCTCTCTGATGTGTTGATGACAAACTCATCTATCGACAGTTCCTTAAATTGGGAGACCGCTCCTGTGAATCCTTCTGGAACAGGTCCATCTGAGTGCAGCATTTTCAATTTTTTGTGAGCTTTCTGGGTTTCCTCATCATTTAAACTTGTTGAATCAAGTTCTGAAATTCTGCGTATAACTTGCTGTAGTGGAGAGCTAGGTTTTCTAACCATTCCTTTAATTTTTTTTAAGTAGTTTTCAAAAGGAAACCCTGATATTAAATCTAAGTGGCCATGCACCTTCACATCATCACTGAGATGAGTTAGACCATGTATGTTGTACACTACAAAACAGTGACCATAGAGTTCACCAAAATGCTTAACAAATGATCTAAGTAGTGTGTTTGCAAAGTCATTTAACAGCAAACAATATGTTGGACTTGCCAAGATATATATGCCCACAGACAACAATATAAAATTTTGGTAAACCTCAGTAGTCAGCACATCCCTCAAAACTACTGGACCAGTGTAAAGTAAGAACTGCCTAAGTTCTGTTGCTTTCCATCGTAACCTTTCATCAAGTGCCCTTGGTCTTCTAGCAAATTCAGAGGGTATGTAACTCTTGAGAGCAAGCAGTTTGCCAGAAATGATAGACACTTGCCTGGATGAAATACGGTAACTCAACTTGCCGCGAGTTCCCATCCACAAATCAAGCAGACGACGCACCACGCCTAAGCACACTAAATGCATATAGTCATGTGGAAATCCACTAACCATGGGAACAGATGTTTCACAAAATGGGGAATGTTGTACATGGTGGTCTTCATCCTCTGCATTTGAAAATGAAACATTGGTTCTTACCCTAGAATTAAGTTCTGGGAATGTCATGCGATTATTAATGTAAATGCCAGACTGTACACATTTATCGCAGCCACTGTATCCATTGTGTGACTTAATACCCTTAATAAAAGCCCTTGCAGGAGCATCACAGATTACCGAGCACACATTCAAGAAGAAGGTCTTTCCATTAACAACAAAACCAGTGCTCAAGGATTTCAACTCACAGACCAGATCCTTCAGATATTCTGACAATGACTGAGGCTTCGAGTTCCCACAGTAAAGAGCAATCAGCACAGGTTTCCTAGTGTAAGCCTGGAGCATTCCTAAAATTGGCCAGAACTGTACACCTGAACTTTTAAAAATTGGAAGACCATCCATGTTTAATTGTAATTTGAAGCTGTGATGATTCCGGACAACTAATGTAAGCTTCTGAAATATGTGGCTGAACATTTTCTGTATACCAAAGTAATGGAATGATCCACTCGCCAAGGAAACAACACTATAATGAGTCTGTGTTTTGAGTAATGTTCTTGCATCTTTTGGCAAAGATGGGTGATGGACTTTCAGTATCGACAAAAGGGCAGACAAAGCAATCAATGAAATGCGAAAATGTGTTGCCCAGTCTCTCAAACATCCTACTAGATCTTCTTTAGTAATATCAAGGCTATCCTCGTCACTTGCTGATTCACTTTCCCCATCACTTTCTGATCCACAGATTGGTGGCAAAACAAAGCTTGAAGTAACTACTTCATTTTCAACACTATGCTCTTCATTAGTACAATCCATACTATCCTCATCATTCAAAGATTTCATAAACTGGGTGACTCTTTTAACAGCCCTTTTCCTTAAATTGCTGCGAGTGATATTCCACTTTTCTCTCTCCATGACACAGTAATTACACCTACAATTACACGAAGTGCAGTCATTAATGAGGTACGCTGAAAAAAGAAAAGAAAAAAAAAAAACATTTTTTACATTGATACTTTTTTATTTTGTACCACATGAAATGTATCAGCAGCTTACCTTAATGGTGACAGTGAATTCTAAACTGTAGGCTTTTATTCCCACCAGCAGTTTTCTGTAGCAAATCACATTGACATGTGTTATTAAGGTGAAAAACATCCTGACTCAAAACAGTAAATAAAAAAATAAAACAAAGCAGACAAACTAATTTTAAAATGACTAGGGTATACTAAAAATGTGAAATACAGAATACCTGAACCAACTTGCTCAATAATATCTATTAGGCTATTATTACTTTGTAATCATCTCATAAAAGCTTTTATTGTAATAAAAAGCATGTAGTAATTTGTGCATTATTGTAGTTAACGAAAAATGCTTTCACAAAGTAATACAACTAGTGCAGTTACTGCAGTATTACTGTATGCCCAATGTATAAACATGAATAAAATATTACACTAGGCTATATACATTTTTCATCGTTGTGCCAAAATAAGCAAGAGTTAAATACTTTCACCGTGCAGAACCGACTGAAGATTGGCAAGATGAGCAAATATAAATATATTGGCGCGCCCGTTCAATCGATTCATTTCGCATTCGAGAACCATACTAGATCTAGCTTAGAGTTATACTGCCAAAATTATGTTACTTCGAAATTAGAAGTTATTCCATTAACTCACACAACATGGATATAACGAAGCAATCGCCTAGAAAATATAAATGTATCGATTATATCTTACCTTGATTGTTTGCAGATTTCGTCCTCCCTCCAACTGACAATCCTCTGGCCTTTTGGTTTCGAGCTCCTTTTTCGCGCTTTACAGCTACGTTTAAATTTAAAGGCCCGAATCGTCGGTTTGATTTTTTTCAACCTCTAACTGACTTTGGTTTCGAGCGCCTTTTTCACGCTTTACAGCTACGTTTAAATTTAAAGGCCCGAATCGTCCGTTTGATTTTTTTTTTTCAAAGACAACTTCACATGCAGTAAATATTTTGTTATAATAAGTAAGCTGAAACAAAAAAAAATGAAAAAGTTAATTATCAAAATAATAATATTTTCTCACAAGAGCTTCACTAATTTGTCGTTCATTTAATTATATTTCATAAATTATAATGTTAAAATTATATATTTTTTTATCTTTAAGAAAGATAATGTATAGCCTAAAATGACAGTTGCATAAATGTTAATTATATTAAGCCAAAAATGTAATAAAATTAAATGTTTATTTATTTATTTAAAATGTTTATTTAAAATATTACAATATTTTTTTATATTTTCAATATTTTCAATATTTTAATTTTTTCATTTGATTATAGCTATTTTAAATATTTGAATATTTTAAGGGGGTTTCAAATATTACCCTTTGTGGGGTCACACGAACAGTGAATCACAACCTTTTTGACCTATTCTCCACTACAAATCCAGTGCGTTTGTTATAAAAATAGCCAAAGTAGGCTACAACATGTTCCTGGCTCAACATCTTTCTTGATCCTGGAACAGCATTCATATCGACAAATTAGAATTGAAGTTTGAAGTTATGCGAAGTTAAGGCTTTCAACCATGCTTCTATCAGTGTTATTATAATGTCCCTCTGATTGTAGGGTTAGGGTTAGGGTTAGAGTTAGGACTATTTTTATGAACCGGAATGATGTTCCTAGATCAACAAAAATATGTTGATACAGGGACATGTACTTGGCAAAATCATTGTGCCCCTAGCTTTGCACAAATAGCAACTAAATATCTTCTTGCACATCCCAAAACCATAAAAAAACCTCTTCATAAGTTTGAACTTAGACACTTGAACTTTTCTAAACACTCTACCTACAAAACATATGTGAGCACAATGTCATAACATGTGGCCTCACATCCAGCCTTAGGCCATGTGTCTACCAAAGCGTTTTTAGCCAGCTGAAAATGCTATGGCAATCTGAAAAGGCCTAGCTGTGAGCGATTGTGTTTTGGCAGTGCAGCGTTTTTGTTGTTGTTGTTGTTGTTGTTTTGTTGAGATGCTTTGTTGCTATACAGAATATCTGTGGCACAGTTTACTTGTAACTGATTTCCCTGATAATTTGTATAATACTAAAAATGTTTGTATAGTACGGATGTCATATAGACACGTATGTTCGGAGACCAGAAATATTATTTTTCCATCTACTCTATTTGATGTTGTACAGAAAGAATGTTGTGACAGTTGGTCAGTGTGGTATGTGTGGTCCATTGTGATTGGACGGTCTGGTAGAAAGTGACAGTGATGAGCGTTTTAACCAAAGTTTAACATTCTTTAACTCTCGCCGATCTGTAAAAAATGCTGAGTGGTCAGCGCTTTATAGCCAGATAAAATTTTTTTAAAAACGCTCAGCACCTCGTCACACTCATGGCGTTTTAAAAACGCGGCACTCCCATTGAAAACAATTGAATAAACACACCAGTCACGTGAAAAAAAAATGCATTGGTGTACACGAGACACAGCCTGTGTCTGCTGCATCTATACCAAAAAATATTGTTAAATGTTGTTAAAAAAAAATTCAAGGCATTTTCAAAGTCTGTCCTTTTAAGCTAAATTAGTCATTGTCAGAAGTGTTGATAAGCCAGACTTGTCACGTAGGTTTACATTTTTGGGGGGCATATTTTGATTCGAATGTGGGCCAAGTTAGACTTACACCCTGATTAGCCAATGCTGACTGTGCCATATATTTTCTAAATGTGGTACAAATTGTTATGAATTATATGGGCCATATTTGCCATGTCATATGGGTGGCACTTTCGGCTCACACCCAGATGAGGCAGTGCCACTGTACCATATCTTTGCCAAAACTGGCCCAAATACATTTTAAGATAACTGGGCCTCATTTGCAGCATTATATGTGGGCCACTTTTGGCTCACATCTAGATGAGCCAGTGCCACTGTGCCATATATTTGCCAAACCTGGCCCAAATATGTTTTAAGATAACTGGGCCACATTTGCAACATTATATGTGGGCCACTTTTGGCTCACATCCAGATGAGCCAGTGCTCGATGAGCTATATCTTTGCCAAACGTGGCCCAGATGTGTTATAAGATAACTGGGCCACATTTTCAACATTATATGAGGGCCACTTTTGGCTCACATCCAGATGAGCCAGTGGTCACTGAGCCATATCTTTGTCAAACCTGGCCCAGATGTGTTATAAGATAATTGGGTCACATTTGCCACATTATATGTGGGCCACTTTTGGCTCACATCCAGATGAGCCAGTGGTCACTCAGCCATATATTTGCCAAACCTGGCCCAGATATGTTTTGAGATAACTGGGCCACATTTGCAACATTATATGTGGGCCACTTTTGGCTTACATCCAGATGAGCCAGTACTCGATGAGCCATTTCTTTGTCAAACGTGGCCCAGATGTGTTATAAGATAACTGAGCCACATTTTCAACATTATATGTGGGCCACTTTTGGCTCACATCCAGATGGCCCAGTGGTCACTGAGCCATATCTTTGCCAAACCTGGCCCAGATGTGTTATAAGATAATTGGGTCACATTTGCCACATTATATGTGGGCCACTTTTGGCTCACATCCAGATGAGCCAGTGGTCACTCGGCCATATATTTGCCAAACCTGGCCCAGATATGTTTTGAGATAACTGGGCCACATTTGCAACATTATATGTGGGCC